AAATAAGTTTAAAATGTAATAAAAGTATTTACACATTTATAATAACAACAACAACAATAATAATAATGAAATATATATATATATATATATATATATATATATATATGCGAGATTAAATTGAAATAATAACATAAATTAAAGGATAAATTTAATATAAATTAATATAAAATTAGAATTAGATTAAATATCTACAAAGATCGAGGGATTGAAAGGGTGATTTACCCTAAAATATAAAAAAGGTGTGGATCCTCCGTACTTCCAGGTCGTGTGATTAAGTTAAGCCTAAAACCACACTCTTTTTTCTATTTCTTTCTCTATTAATTTCTCTCTGAATTCTCTCTAAAATCAATTAGGCACCGTAGCTCATCGTCAATCACTACCACAAGTCGGTCGCCATTGATGATGGTTGTTTGGGTCCAAATCTAATCGGCAGACACATATATGTTTTCTAATTTTGAATTCTGGCTCATTTTTTGTCGAAAGATGCTCAAAATCCCATGAATCAGTCAAAAACCCTTTGCCTTCCACCTTACTGGTTTTTTATCTCAATCATCGAATGAAGTTGATTTTAAAATATGTTGATCTCCACATTAATCCCCTCACGTTGGTCGTCTGGATCTCCAAGGAAAGGCTCTGTTTGTTGGATATTTTTAAGGGATTTTCTTGTCAGATTCATTTGCATCCATGGCCATTTCTTCATTTTCAATTTCGTTCTCTTGATTCCCCTCAATTGCTCTGTCCCCTCAACAAGGGTTGAATGAGAGGTTTTATTGATAGAGATGTAACAACGGATGATTGATTGTTGTTGTAACGCCACGGATCTCGGGTTAGGAGATTTGGGATAACCCGAGATAGGCCTTGGATTAAACCTCTAGCTTGTAAGAAGCTTTGACCCAAATTGAGGTGGATTTGGGCTTGAATAAAGCCTAATAGAGATTAAAAAGGGTGTTTTTAATATGCCGTCAGAATCAAAGGGACCAAAAAAGTAATTATACCATAGTTCAAAATTAAAGCTAAAAAACAAATTAAGAGTGCATGATCTCACATCTGCGGTATTCTCATATCACTTTTTCACCATTTTCCTTGTCTTCTTCCTCTTCCCTTTCAAGGCCTCTCCATTTTCCTTTAGAGTTGAAGTAAAGGTGGGATATTTATAGCTTTTGAGACCTCAATCAGCAGTTTAAAGGTAAGAATCATAATCATCACCTTCTAAGCTCCAATTCAAGACTACTTTTGCAAAGTTTGGCCACGGTAGCAAGAAACATGTTTTTGTAGGGGTAAGAGATTTCAAGATATCATCCCATTTTCAGTCATCTATAGGCTTAGTAAGTGTTTTTAAACCATGCTTAATCTTTAAATTCCGTTAGTGACCCTTGCTTTGGTTCTTGGCTAGTGAGAGAAGTGGGGAAAACTCTCAATCAAGGGGGAAGGAGAAGCTCACCTTGGGTTAACCTTTGGACACCCATAACAACTTAGAATCGTCATGTAACTCACTCTTAACTCATCTATACCACATGTAGTTCATCTAGGTGAGATTTGGTAAGTTGCATAAGCTTGAAGCATTCATGGTAGATTGCATCATTTGAGTGTTTTCAGTATGTTTACAGACTCTTTATGACCCCTAATGTCACATAAAACACTTAAACATCAGTTGGGGACCTTAATGGGGCATTTGGGGTAGAAAGGATTGTTCGTGCCAAAATAGGGTACCTAGTAGCAATATCACATTTGGCTACTAGAATTTGTAATTTAACTCTAGTATCGATGCCCGATGAATATTATCGATACCATTGAGTCAAAAAATCCTTTTGTTTTTGGCTATCTGAAGAACAATATATGAATTGTTCATCCAGTACCGATACTCAAGCCTAGAAATACTATATCTTTTCTCGAGAATGACACCCAACTTAACCCATTTGCCCCTCCAAGGCCCTTAAACATTATTAAAGTCTTATGCAAGCTTATAGGGGGTCATAAAGAGTCATTTTCATTATGAATAACATCATAATCTGAAATCTACCATGGATGCACTTCCATGCTTCATGAAATCATGCAAACTAACCAACCACGACTAGTGATCTACAAGTAGTATGGATGAGTTAGAAATGTATTACCTTGAATTCTAAGCTGCTGGAAACACTCAATGCTCAACCAAGTGCTAGTTTTTCTTTCCCCTTGCTTTTGGAGCTTTCTCTAACTTTCCTCGCTAAACAAGGATCAAACACATGAGTTACTAACTTGTTTTAGAGCTTACAAAGATGTTAAGTGGGTTTCCTAAGCTCAAATCCCTAAAAACGGGTTGGAACAATATGTGCTTCTAAACCCTCACTAAAATCTCTCCTATGGCTTCCGATAAACCTCTACAAAGCTAGTAGGTTGATCCAAAATTTCTCTCTTGTTAGCCCAAAACTATTAACTCAAAATTTAGAGCGTTGCAACTATAACTATTGAATACATTGTTGTATGATTAGTAATTAATTTACTTTGTATTAGAATTGGATTAAAGTTTCATCACTTTCATTACGATTTTGTAAATTTATAATTAATATTAGAAACGTAAAAAAATTATAACATAACAAAATATTAAATTTATAATTAAATATTATTAGTATATAGAATTATAACATAATAATATTATAAACATAATATTTACATTTTTAATTTCTTTATTAAAGGAATAATAATGATAATTTTATCATTGTAATTTAATTTTAAAGGAAGTTGAAAGGTTATATGCTAGATTTATTTTGGAGGATTTTCTAGTGAAACAAACACAAATTCACATCAAATATGTCAAAATGGAGTGAATTGAAAATTTTAAGATTCAAAGGTTTTTATCAACGGTGGCTGCTGACAATCGGCGATGAACAATAGCGACAGTGACGAGTGACGACCAGCGACAAGAGACTTCGTTTGAATTCAGGAGTCAAATTAATATTTTATTTAAAGTTTAGAGTCAAAATGATATTTCATCTAAAATTTAAGGGTCAAATTAAAATTTTACCTATTTTACTAGCATGTCATATCAACAAACTTTTAAAAGTTAACAGTCCAGTGACCAAAATTTAATATATCAATAACGTAAGTGACTAAAATGTAGCTTTTTCAAAATCAATGATCAAAAGTGAATAAAACTAAAACTAAAGTGATCATTACAATAATTTACCTTAATTTAAATATATATTCAAGTTTATAAATTTCAGACAATGTATAATTGATTAGGTGCTGATTTCGGACATTATGATGGTGCTCATCCTTCACCACACTTAATTAACTCTCTTCTTCCCTTAAAATTTTATAAATTTGTTAAAATTTTACAACTTCATCAACACTAACATGATATTGTGTGTCTGTCGCTGGCTATATTGGCAGTGGTGGTCGAAGCTTGGGGTGGAAGAAGGTGGGTGATTCGTGTAAGTTAATAAACCCTAATCCAATGACAAAAAGATATGTTCATACGTCAGAATTTTAACAGTTCAATGCTATAATTGAAACCAACACCAGTGTTCAATGCTACAATTATCAAATTTTAGTTTAGTGAGAAAAAACGATATTAAAATAGAAATTTAGCGATATTTGAAATAACTTTAAATTCAAGTTGAAACTATTTCCTATTTTTCGGTATATATTAATTTAAGTTTGAATCATTTTAAATTCAAACTAAACGCACGAGTTGTTAACTATTATGGTTAAATCAAATTTTGATTTCCAATCCAAATCTTAGGTTCGGACAAAATTTGACAACTCTAGTTAATTATCATACATAAAAGAACATGTTTAGGCCAGGGATGGGCCGGACTCGATAGATTCCGATCCGATCGGGTTTTTTATAAAAAAAATTTAAATTTGGGTTGAATTTTTTTAAGTGTGTTATTTAGGTAAGGTTCGGATTTAGGGTGAAAAATACTCGATCCGACCCAAAAATATATAATTTTACCTTATATATTTAAAAATAATTACAATAATATCCCTCTATATATAATTTTTTACAATTAAGTCATTATTTTTATTAAACAAAAATAATATTTTTTATTATTTTAAGTCGAGTCTCTAAGTTATATATCGGGTCGGATGAAACCTTTTTTTGGTCAAGTCGAGTCTCGGGTGGAGAGTTCCTTGTTCTCGGATCAATTAGACCAAAAAGCCGACCCAACTTGACCCATACCCATCCTTACTTTTAGATTTTGGTCGACTTTTATAATGGGATCTGAATTGGTATGTCGAATTAAGTATCATACAGAAGAAACAAGTAAAAAAGCCATTTAGTTTTTTTATTATTATTAATTTGAGTAAATATAAGATAATATCTGTTCAAAGATAAAATATCCGTGTTTTTTTATTATTATTAATTTGAGTAAATATAAGATAATATCTGTTCAAAGATAAAATATCCGTACCCCTAATATCTCTGACTCTCAAACTCGGATCCTCAAAGAATAACAACAATTCATTGCCAACGAGAAACAAACAAACAAAAGGCATTGCCATTCAAATTGCTGAGGAAACCAATAGGAAATACACAGAAGTTGAAACAGAAAAATGTTTAAATCAATGGACTTGCATATGTGAACCAAAATATACTCCAAACATTGACTAACAATAATAAAAATTACCATTAACAATCAATTGATCTAGTGAGATAAAGCAAACCGAATTAGGAAGATCGCCTCGCCTCTACAGTATCGGATTTGAATTAGTCGACCAATAGATCAGATACCAATAATTAATTCAAAAATAATGAAAAATACCATTCAAAGACCTTACAAACTTCTAGTTAATTAATTAAACTCTTGCTTTTAAAATTCAGCCAGCTAAGAACTCGTTAAGCAGTGATAAGAAGCACAGAAGCATATTCAAATTTCAGTAACAAGTTAAACATAACAAGAATAGTATGGAGAAATACAGTAACTGATCAAAAGAATATTCGAAATTTAGCATCAAGTTGAAGAGAATAAGAAGCATATTCAAACCTCTGAGATCCAAGGTAGCTTGGTGTAATTCTCAAAGCTCGAACTCTTCATCTCTGAGAGCGATTTCAGCAGCCTCTTCATCATCCTCATCCAGAACGAAGTACTCATTTTTCTCCACCGGCCTAAACATGTAAAACATAAACAAATAAAACGCAAGACTCGCGGCCTCCTCGGCTGCATTACTAACCCATTGATATTTGTAAGCGGCGATCGTCCTCAAAGCAAACACCGCAATTCTCGTGAAATACAAGTACCCGATCACCACGATGTAAAACTGCCTAAACAGTGTCAACTTCGCCAAATTCCTCGCGGCCTTGCCATCGGTTTTCGAGGTTTCTCTCAATGAACGGATCGACCAAACGATCGGGAAGATGATAGCGCAACAGCAAATGATATCAACCAGCAAAAACAACTGATTCCATGTTACCCAATCTTTAATGAACGGCCCAGTTTCTCCGATCACAACCGAAGCGATATTAGCTAAAACTTGGAGCGGAATCACGATCATCAGAACCTTCTTCTCCCTTTCTTGTAGAAATGGTTTCAGAAACGACCAACCGGTGCCGATCAAAATGATGACGGTGAAAAGCAAAACGACGCGAATGAATTGAAAAATGTAGAATAAAATATCCCAACCGTGAGGAGTTCCGGTGACCTTGACGTAATGCTTATCTTCGGCGGCGCATATCAGATTCAACGCTTTGAATAAAAGCAATCCGGACATCAATAAATGGAGCCGGTGTACGGACAGTTTGTTGGTGTAACAAATGTAGATCCAACAACCAAGGAAGACTAAGTAAAGGATTGAGAAGACGGTGTAAAGGGAAGGGAGCTGGGTTAGACCGGCGGAGAGGTAATCTCTAGAACCGTCGCGTTCGAGGTTGTAGGTTTCGGCCCGGACGTTCATCGAAACGCGTGTTTCGGGGGCGCAATTGGAGAAAAAGAGGGAGTATTCGTTGGGGGAAGAAACGGGGTAAGTCTGGTTGAAGCGCGACAGCGGAGGCGGGGAGAGGTCGGCGAAGGTAAAGAGATGTTGGATGTAGCGAGAATCGAGGACGCAAAAGTGAGGATTTTGTTGAATCTCGAGGAGGACTTGGAGGAGAGCTTCTTCGGATAAGAGGAAGAAGCCGAGGCGGGAAGCGTCGGGGTTGGGAGCAGTGGCGGAAGAAGAGACGGAGACGGAGGAGACGGCCACGGAGACGTAGCCATTGTGGGTGAAGCCGAATTTCTCGAAGAGGATCATGGGGCGGGAATCGGAGGTGATGGTCAGGGTTCTGATCTCGGCGGTGGAGGAAGAAATGAGCGAGAGGAGGAGGAGGAGGAGGATTTGCCGGGGTAGTCTGGTCATTGTGGGCGGATCTACGGCTGTCGGCACGGTGATTCGCGGTGGAAGGAAAACGGAGGAAGCGATTGGATTTAAAAGAAACTGGGATCGTAGATCTCAACTTGTCAAGTGATATTCTAGACGGCAAATATACGCCTCCATTGCTGAGTTTGGGTCAGTCCAATATAATGGGCTCACAAATCAATCAACTAGCCCAAATGGTGCAACCCACTTTTAATCGAAGAAATTGATCCGACGTGAAGCAAACATGGCAACTGACTTCATCTCCAACATAAACAGTGATACCACTGGTCTATTAACTTTGTTTCCCACAGCACCCCACCACTGGTCTATCAACAACTTCATCCAATTCCTCTTCGTCTTCTTCATCGTTTTCATTCAGTTCAAGCGGACTCCATGATTTACAATTGCTGAAAAGAAGCAACAGCGCGAATTCCGAGATCGAGCATTCGATCGAGGAAGCAATCGCTCACTGTAAGCAGTCTCAGCAGCTGTCTAGTTCGAGAAAGACTGCAACTGAAGTTGGGGTTTGTTCACTTTCTGCTTCAAAGATTTCAGTTAGCGGGGACCAAGAAAAACAAAGACTTTGCAGCATATGAATATGAAAAAGGAAAAAACACTGAAAAATTGTAGCCAGTTCCTGTTACATTCTTCCAAAGTGAGTGTCACTGTCAATCCTGTGTGAGATACTCATATCAATTTGTTAATGTTACTGTAATAGGTTCCTGTGGAAGAACATATTGAAATCCATGGAAGTTTTATAATTCAATACAATGGTCATTTTATGGCTTTCCTTTTAGTACTTGCTCAAGATACTGCATGATTAGAGTTGATTGAATCCAGCAACTGTTCTTCCTTGGACTGGGACAAAAACATTCTCTTTTACAAGGACTCGCCAGTTTCCACATTTGACAATGATCTTTTACCACTTAACTAAGTTTTACACAGATGATGCTAAGTTTAAAAGTCAATCTCTTTTGATTACAATTAAGCCCCGGAATTTAAAAATAAAAATAAAAACTTTTTTCCAGTAAGAGCACCAGAACTTCAAATCTGCAGATTCTGCAAATACTGTGAATTTTACAAAAGCTGCTTCTTTTTTTTTTTTACATGAAGCTTTTTTAGCAGATATAAATTCTTTATTACTGTTTCAGCCTTTATTTTATTACCGATCTTACTTTAAAAAAGTGGGTTTAAATTACATTTTGATACCTTAAAGAAAACTTTGATTAAAGGAACACCCCACCTGCTTACTGCAGATTAAGGCTAATTAAACTAAACCAAAAGCTTTATGTCATTTCAATTGTATACTCTTTATGAAATGATTTTGATCACCATGAATACTGAAAACAAGAGCAAAAAAATCTTTCGATCTTATCGTTATTTTCTCAAGATTGTGACTAACCATTAAACTAGAACAAAACGTGCCTGCTAGATTTTTGACAAGATTGGAAAGGAAATAACGAAATTGCATAGTAGCTAAGTTGACAGATGTTGAGTCCTGACAAGACTAAAAAAAAAGCATTTCATTTTCCCTGCCCGTATGGTCAAGTTTTGTTTTCTCCATTTGGCTAGAAAAAGGAAGTGCAACTGCAAGGCTCTTAACACTTTGTAAGCTAGTGAAATGGAGCTTCATTTCAATGGAAACTCCAACTATTTATTCGAAAAAAGACTGAAAGTTGGATTCCAAAAGTATATGCTTTCATGCACAGTTTTTGTATTTGCTTTGCTTACTTACAACATAGAAAAACAGAAAAAGGTTTGCCCTTCTTTTCGAAAGGCGGTGTTAGCAGAAGAAACAGATCGGATCGACATTGTTAATCATAACATCCTCTGCAAGTAAGTTTCGGTAATGAATTCTTTGAAAGTTTTGCATTGGGACCATTGTCTGCAAGTGAAGCATGTGAGAAAATGTTAGGTGGTTTCAAGAAAAGATACTAAAATTAATAAAATAAACAAAAAATTTGTGTAACTTGTCATGTTTCTTACACTTTGTTCTGAAGCACAATGCATCTTCAACATAATGTTGACATGTATAAAATAATCAAACTATTCTCTCATCTAATTCAAATTAAACTTTATGAAGTTGGTCATCAGTATGACAGATAAGTAGCATGTACATATCAAACAAACGATAAATTCTTTTACTAGAGGTTTTTAGCCAGCATTTCAAGGTGACCCCTTTCTAAAAATTTCCAAGTTCTTCCATAATTCAGACAGGATGACAAAAGGTGAAAGAAATTACTGAAAATTTTGAGACAGGGAAGCAAGGCGTGTCTTTTTCACATTCAAATCTAAAAGGGAAAAAAAAGAGTAAATTCCATCTTTTGAAATAGACAAAACGAAGAACATGCCACACCCTATTGCTTGACATAAAGAAATTGAAGCATTTTCCTAGGAACATTGAATCATGAGAAGAATAGTAATAAAGGCAGACTTCATAAGCATAAGCATAAGATATTTCTATGTGCAATGAATGTTGTAAAAGGCATTGGCTATCGATGTCACTAATTATTCCATGATGGCATCGGTTCAGAAGGAAACTATGCAGGAGAATCACTGCAATACTCACCAGTACCTTTGTTATATTGAAAGAAGAGGAAAAGGAGCATTGTTACACTGGGAATCAGATGCATTACGGGCGTAACAAATAATCTAGAAGATGAAGCCGGAAGATGAAGCCGGATTATTGACTAATTGTTTTCCTCGATCCATTGAATTACAGAAGGAGGTATGTGTGTGTGTGTGTGTGTGTGTGTGTGTGTGTGTGTGTGTGTGTGTGTGTGTACAATCCGTATAAGCTCATCAGCAAGAAGCACCAGGCTAACATTCTGCTACAGTTAGATCCATTTACATATGAGCAGGGTTTTAAATAGCGGTCCGCATCTGCGATAACGCCCGCGAAATAGCGGTAGCGTTGCCTTCCGATATACTAGCTATAACCACAATAGCGCCCGTTATGGCCACAATCACGGTAAAAGCAATATAATCGAAAACGTGACTGCGATTTGAATCCCTGCATATAAGTAAAAAGATGCAAGCATCCGAGCTCAAACTGCATAGAATTTCTTGTGTTCATTGTTCAGTATCTCCATGTCAGACATGTGTGACATTGACATGGACTGAGATCCTCTATTCATAGAAGACCTGCGGATTGATGCGGTTCACAATCACCCAATAACACAGTGTCCACAACGTTGATACCATGATAACAGTCCCTATACCAGTAACTAGGTAAGCTAACCACCTCTCATCTTCTCCAACCACAATATACGAAAGGGAAAGAAATGCAATGGAAATCAGTACACAAGCCGACCACATGAGCTTATTAATAATAGCCATCATCTGCTTCTTTGCTTTTCTCTGTATGACTACAACTGAGGTTTGCACCACCACAACAGCCAACGATATGAAGAGGGAAACAACGTCAAAGACGATAAAAATCATAAACTGCAGTTTTGGAGCGATTCTCGCTTGTCCAGGAGAGACTCCTGGTGAAATATCTTGAGGACTGTCAGCATATTGGCCTGGGACATTGAATATGGCAGCAAAAGCAATAGTGGCGATGAGAACAGCCACCACTGTGGTGTAGTTGATTGCATTATTGAGACTGTAGGAGAGATTCTCGCTTTTCATATTTTTGCTTCATAGGCAGTTACAGTTTTCTGGATGAATCTTTGCCTTTTTCAACGTGAATGAGTAGTTATTTTGAAATTATTTTAAAATTAGTGGATCTGATTGAATGAGACTATGAATGACGTTGTGAGTCAGATTCATGAAATAATTTCTCCTTACATTACTGTTTATTAAATTAAAATGTTAATTACATCATATATCCTCAAATTAGAAGCCTTATTTTAAGTTATTCTTTAAACTTTTAGATATTTTAATTTCATCCCTAGATTATGATGTTCATTTGAAATTAGTCCTTAAACTTTTGAACATTCTAATTTCATTCCTAAACTATGAAACTCTTTCTAAAACGGTCCACAAACCTTTGAATATTCCTATTTCATCCCCAAATTCATCAAAATATGTAATTAATTTCAACCATAGTTTAACCTAATTTTTTTCAAATATATAATGATATGACTTGGTCTAACAGTTTTATTAACACGGAATGTGATTAGAATATACGTATAATTTGGGATGAAATTAAAATGTTCAAAAGTTTAGGGACTATTTTATAATAAAGTCATAGTTTTGCGGATGGAATTGAAATGTTCAAAAGTTTAAGGATTAATTTAGAATGAAAATCATACTTTAGAGATAAAATTGAAACATTTAAAAGTTTAAGAACTAATTCAAAATAAGGGTCATACTTTGAGGACATGATGCAATTAATTCTAAATTAAAATGGAAAACTACACATTAATCATCAAACTATTCACGTGATTCCGTCTTGGCCTCCCAATTTTTTTATTAAAAACCTCATACTTAACGTTATGTTTTGATTTTATTTTGGTCATTGTTAAAATATTACCATAGCTGCAGACATGACATTTTTTTTTCCGGTGGCAATGTAACATTACTTGATAACCACAAGTCATTTTGCATCATGTTTCATATCTTCAAACCGTCTAGAATCTGTTGAAGATACCTTGACGCTCAAGTAATAGAATTATCAATCAATGAAATGGTTATACAGGACACAAGAAGGGTCAATGACTCAGAATGTTGTGTCCAACGTGTTTCGTCCAACTGAATACTTACCCTACATGGACACTGAATATTGTGGGTTTTCATAATTCTTGCTGGTGAAGAAACTATTGAATGCAGATTTTTGTATATAAATTTCCTAAACCAAAAGCAGCTTTTACAAACCTGTCACTACCTCAGATACTAGTTCATCTACCAACAATCTCTCGATTCCCCGACCTATTTCGTCGACATCCGTTCTCAAGTCTAACCATTGAAATTCTCCTGCAAACACCGTCTCTCCTTCATCCATGTGAGGTTTCTTGCTTTGGCTTACTAGTGACTTGCACAGGCTATCTTCAAGCTCTCCGATGTTGCATTCCGGAATAATAAGTTTCCTTCCAGATATCATCTGGGGTTGGTCTCTGTATTGCTGATAGATCTCCAGTATCTTTGAATTAATCCTATCAAACATCAACCTCCTGTCAGCCCTTGACCGAGAATTTACGTTACAATATTTTTTCTCGAGTTCTTCAAATACTAGCGGATTCACTGGACATTCTGTAGAATGCCATGCTGCTAAGAAGGTATCCGGTTCGGCTCGTCTAATTCCAGAATCGACCAGCACATCAACTATGTACACAGATTCCCAATTTTCTTCTGGCTTTGGTCTCCCGTTTTCCTCAGCAAGCCCAACAGATACTTCATTGCCATCATCATCACTAGAAAGAAGCATAGCTCCATCTTCATATACCTCAGATTCTAGTTGTAATTGTCGAAGTTGCATCCGAAGCTCTGAAAGCATAAACAGTAGTAAAAAAAAGGAGTGGAAGCTAAATATAAAAGTAACAAAACTAAAACCGCCATTTACCATGAAGATCAGCACTAATACTCTCGAAGCATTCAGAACCAGATGATGCATCATCTGCAAAAGGGGCTTCTATAACTGAGACTGGACTAGGTTGCTCTGCCTCCTTAGAGCATACTTGAGATTCTAGTTCCGGTACAGGGCAATCGGGTGTCATTTGCTTAGGTCCCTCAGATGGTTCCTGGAGATTGTCACAAAAGAGATGCGTACGTTAAACTGAGTGGAGAAATATCTCCTCAACAATTCATATAATCTACAAATCTACATAATATAACAAATACCTGGGAGTTCAAATTATCTAGGTCACTGGTAGAAGCAACAACAGCATTCAATGAAGCAGGAGCCGACAATTCAATGTTAGAAGGTTCAGAGAGCACAGGCATATTCAGATCATTGACACCCTCTGCATTTTCGACTGAACTTGAATCCACGGCAGTACCAGCAGAAGCCCTCGAGACCATAAGAATGTGTTCGGATAGCTTATTTTGCTTTACTTGATAAGGGGTGTTCTCAGAATCTTGTGAAGTGCCACTATAATCCTTATTGCTGCAACTACTATCCAGAAATTGAGATTTTTTAACACGGGATCTTTGGTTGCTAGGTAATGGAGCTTCCTTTTGATTAAAATTGCCTTTTACTGCTTTGTTTTGGTCCAACTTGAAACCCTCTTTTGGAATTACATACTTGTTTCTGAGAAGACTTTCATGACGTGCGCTTTTTCTGGGACTTCCGAAGTCAGTATATGAAGCAGGTAGAGAACGTGATCTCGAAAGATTACCAAGACAACCATCCTTCCAACCATCCCTACTGCTAATGCCTAAAGGTTCATTCCAAACTGCAGGCCCACCACAACGACCAACCTCACTGCATCCTTCCATACCAACCGAGCCACTAGAATTTCCAGGAATCGCTTCCCTATCTGAATTGGCAAGCATTTCACCCAGTGTGCTGCCCCTGCTAACCACGTGTACCTCTTGAGGCTTGTGTGTTATTTTCCACCTCTCAGACAATCTATTCTTGGCCTCTCTACTGACTGATGATTCACTAGAACGGGATGATGACCTCTATGTCGCTCATTCCAGCCAATGTTATCTCTGTAGGACAATGTTGTTACATCTGAATCATTTGCAGATTCAGATCCGGATACATCACATGAACTCTCATCCCCTGCATATCCTCTCAACTTGGAGGTCGAAATAGTCATGGAGTTATTGTTAAAGCTATTTTTCATTTTCCTCGTAATCTCCTTGCCCATCATTTCCCTAGAGTCTCTAGGATTATGCGTTGAAAACACAGTATCTTGATGAACATTATTCTTCCCCCGCATTTCTGCCTCCTTATCTTCGACCCCCAAAATTTCTGAGTGTCTTGTGAACTTGGATGGAAAATGATGAGAAGAACGAGGTGATGAAGAAGTTCTGGAAGAGTTCTGCAACTTCCCAAGATTTGGTTTCAAGACAACAATTCTTGTAGGTACAAAAGCTTGCCCTTTTGTCTCTTCTAATTGAAACGTAGGTGACTTGGGGGGATTGTGAGCAGCACATCTCCCATGAGGGTGACTCGGACAACCTTCTTGATGTCCCTGAGGAGATTCACAGTGATGCTTCGTACGAGTTTTACTCCCATTTTTGTGTGCTAAGCTACCATTCTCCTTATTCAGAGTGCGTGATGACTTTATAGCGGATACATGGCTACAATGGGACTGGGGTGGCATTCCTCGCAAATCATGCAAATGCTTTGTGAATAATGAATCAGGTTGTTGAAAGAATTTCAGCAGAAGATCAGTGTTGGAGTCTAACACCTCGAGGGTATCATTGAATTCCTTAGAATCTTGAAGCTTTTCGTCGGTTGAAAGACGTTTGGCCTTCATAAATTTCTGCCCAATAAAGGCTACCTTCGCATCGGAAAGGTTTGAATTCGCAGAACCTTGAGAGAAACCCGCACTCTCCATTTTCAATGCATCTAAAACTTCAAAAACATCTTTAAATTCCTGCTCATCCTTAGAACTTTTCCTAGAAGATTGCCAGCTATCGAATGTACTACCCTGACTACTCTCGATTCCGTTTTGATGCTTGTGGCCATGCTGCCGAGGCGGCAGTCCATCAAGCCCCATCAACCTTGCAATAATACTCGGTGACCGTCTTCTAGGTTCATTTTCTTTGGACATCTCTCGCGCCAACAACTTATTCATCGGTGTCCCAGTCGATTGTTTTGAAGATGTAGAAGTGAACGCAAACATTAACTGCAACAATCAGAAACAATTGATTGGTGTTACAATCGAGAAGCGTTTAATGGTAAGGAGTATAAATCTTATCATATCAAACAATGATGGAAACAAGAAAAACTAGCACACCTGTTTTTCATTAGTAGTATCACTGCTGCAAGAACTAGAATCGGATGGCAATTTAGGACAATTTCTCTGCTTTTGAATATTCATGTCTCCTGGAAATAAATCCTTATAAAAATCATAAGAATTATTCTAATAAAAAAACAACCCAGCATGGAAGCCCAGACACAAATATTCAACCCTGGGAAAATGTTTAAACGAAAGGAAAACAGGGGGACTAAGGCGTTTGGTAACTAAGAAAATGTAGGAAAACAAAATCAACTTTAACGTGAAAAAGGAAAGAAGCTTATAATCATGAGTTCTTTTAACCTTTTTTTTTTTTTTGCAGGATAAATTTAGCAACACAACTCACTCATTTTCATGAGTCATTTTCAAAATGGAAAAACAAATACGGAATATTTATATAATGACAAGAATTCCAAAAAAAATCCTTCTGCCTCGCATTCCTCGACGGAAGAAACAAGCGATCATTTAAAAACACGTTAAAAAGGGGAAAAAAGAGAAGAGAAAATCGAACCTCTGAACGAAGAAGGGGCAGTTAAAGGAAGCAGGTCGATTAAGGTCTGATCAGAAGAGAAGCTCGAAATCTTATGACTCCAATACCCAAATGTCTTCATTTTCACTCATTTGAACTGATAAAAGAAGAAAGAAACAAGTAGTCGGACGAAATATAGATCCGAAATGCACGAAAAAAACTCATAAGCCAAAACAAAAACATATCTCTGAACAAAAGAAACTCTTAAGAAAGTTTATTTTTTTGGGGGGCGTCAGAAGGTGAAGAAAAAAAAAGAAATTTGTTAGCTGAGCTGGTTAAAACGGAGATCGTGACAACGGCGGCGGCAATAAAGACGGGAGTGGAGGAGGTGGTTCATTAGAACCGTCGAAAACGGGGAGAGTGTGTGGGAGTGAAGAAAGAGAAAACAAAAATGAAATTTTTGAACATTCAAATGCCGGAGTGAGAGTGGGGGAGAGAGAAACAAAGCCGCGAATTGATTTGTCCACATGTCAGTCTCGTGTGTGCCACGTTTTGTATCCTTATTGGTTTTGATTTCATAGAAAATGCCTTCCTTGAAATATTTAAATTTAAATCCATAAGGACTATATTTTTCAACCTGTCGGAAAAATCAATTAAAATTTAAGAACTTCATATATTTTTATAAAGTTTGAGAGGTGATTTGATCCTTAAGTAAAAAATTAAATATTATTTTAAATTTAAAATTATATTTTCGTCCCTTGAAATTTTAGTTTACCCCTAACATAAAATCATGCATTTGTCATTAAATAAAATGTTTTTTTGCTAAAAGTCAAGGGATATAATTTTTTTATAGGACAGATGTATAATTTTATATTAATATGTGAATTTTAAAATTTTATGATAGATGAATTTATAAAATTTTAAAAAAAATTAAAATAGATTATCAATATAAAAAAATTAAAATAATAAAATATACGATAATTTAAAATTTAAGATACTAAACTGAAACGGTAATGAAGTATATGTAATTGGGAAAAATGAAAATAGATTGTGTGTAATGGTCTGTTTGGAACGGAGAAAACAATTTACGAAAAATGTTTTTCCCGTTTTCAAGTGTTTGGTTTACGTAAAACTCCCAGATCAACGGAAAATGAAATCCGGTCAATGGTAAACTTAGAGTAAATTTTTTCACAAGTCAAATATGTTGGATGAAAAATGACTTGCCCTGCTTCTTTTATAGTAAGGGGTTTTCTAGATAGAGGATCTTTACCTGCAATTAAAAAATTGTTTACTGTTGCGTTTTTTTAGTTAAACTAGATAACATGTCACTATCCGTTTTATTCAATATTAGGTATTCAAATTTTATTTTCGTCTCCCCAATCAAAAGATCTAAACAGTAAAAATTTATTGTTATTTTTTAAAGTTTTATATTCAAGCAATCCATACCATTAGGGATGTAAACGTTCAATGTCAAATGATGAAAAATTATCTATAAACATATATTTTCTTATATTTACATGATATTAATAAGAAAAAACTATTTTCATCATACGACTCAATACATTTAAGTGGTACTCGAGTATTTCAATCCACTAATGCACACGAGAATATATATGAAATTTTATAATTTTATATAGTTTTAAGTATTTTTATATTTTTATTAATAATTATTTTTTTACATAAGTCGCGTATCAGTTGAAACATCGCTGTTAAGTCTTCAGCAACTTCAATTCTTATGCAATATCCATTAAAGTATCACTGGATTAACTGAGAATTACTTTTCTACAATTGAAAAATCGTTGTAGCAAAATTCATATTATATGTCTCTAAAATCGCTAACAAAATATGCAGCAATAAATTATTTCAAAACTCCACAACCTGACCCATAGCTCTAATACTATTTATTAGGAATTTGAGAGCAGAAAAATAACCAAAGCGATGTTAACATAAAATAAGAGATGCATAAGATACGAGATTTAACGTGGTTCAGCATTGTCTACCTTCACGGACGAGAAGAACAATAATCTACTATAAACGTAGAAAACACGAACAATTCAAATACATGCTATCACACGTAACCCAAAACTCTATAGATACCAAAGCCCTATATATCTCAAAACATACTTCCAACATCCCTACGAAATTATATTTACAACATAAATCCCAAAAATTACAGAAATTCTAAAAAAATTACATTTCTCCAAAATAATTATCTCTCACATTAACATTAAATGTTAAGAAATAATCTCTATTTATAGACTTAGATATTTGGTCATTAAGAACTCTATAATTTCTTAACATAAAATAAATATTTACTTTATTAAATAAAATAAATTACCAAGTTATCTGAATTACAATAAAATTTAACCCAATTATCAATTATAATTTAAGTCAAAATATAACATCATTACATAATAAAACATAATTCTGTTAATATTCAATTTTTAATAAACTTAATATCTTTTTAATTTAAAATATTTAAATAAGTATATTATATTAAAAAATTAATTATTATTTTCATCAATGAATTCAAATATTTTTCCCACACTTCCATCTAGGGGTGTAAACGAGCCGAGTCGAGCTCGAGTATTATTGAGCTCGACTCGACTCGACTCGAAAACTCTGAAATAGAGCTCGACTCGACTCGAAAACTCACGAGCTTAAAATTTTTAAGCTTGACTCGAACTCGAAATCCTAAACTGAAGCTCGTGAACAGCTCGAAAAGGCTCGAAATGAAAAAAAATCTTAAAATTAACAAGATTAAATCCTCAAACTCAAACTCGAACTCGAACCTGAACCATAAATACATGAAAGTCTTATTGTATTTTTTAAAAAAAATCAACACATAAATGTTAATATTATTAATAATTTTTTTTAAAAAAATAAAATCTTAATATATTATATTTTCGAGCTACTCACGAGTTTTTCGAGTCGAGTATCAAGTAGCTCGTTTCGGCTCGTTAAGAATTCGAGTCGAGATCAAGTTCGAGTCGAGTCTATTCAATCCGAGTATTTATCGATCCTTGACCGAATCGATCTCGAATAACTCACGATCTGTCTCGTCTCATTTACGACCCTACTTCCATCCCATCACGATGATGGAGATTCGAGACTGGAGAGTGCTTTTTTCCCTATCATTTTCATTTCTTTCCTTTTGCTTACTTTTTTCCACAAGGGACATGAGCATGTGAAAAGAAGTTAGAACAGATCAAATAGAAGGATAGCATCTTTAATTGAATGTCTTTTCATATATTTGATATAAATCGATTTAAACTCAAATAATATTATCGGTATTATATCTTTATATCTAATTTTTTTTACTGTTATCCGTATTAAATTCTTAACAATCTGTTTGTTTGTGGAACTGATATGATAACAAAGGTGCAACGATAATAAAGTTTAAGGTTAACTACACAGATGATGATCATTTATGTTTGTGTTTTGTTCATTTTTAATAAAAAAATATAAGATATGATCACTTTCGTTTTTATTTAATTAAGATGTGATCACTCCGATTTAGCTGTCGTTAACATCAGTTAAATATTTTGATATAATCACACATTTAAAAATGATATTTTACAATCTTCGGGTCTCAAAAATGATATTTTACTGTGGCAAGGAAGCACTTGTAAAGAGTGGTTGGATTGGGCGGCTTCTTAGCTTGACTCTATAGGGCTGGCAAGATTAGTTGTGCTTCTATGGAACATATGTAATAGGCACAACAAATTCGTCCATGAGAGTGAAGTTCAAGAGGATAGAGAAGTCATCATTGCTGCTTGGAATATTTGTTCTGATTTCTTAGAAATCAATGGGAGGAGGGTGCCTAATAAGGGAACACCGTTCAGAGCAAGAAGATGGACTAAACCCCTTAAGGGGTTATCAAGATCAATGTGGATGGTGCGTTTAGTTCTATAGCTAAGGTTGCAGCTTTAGGTGTGGTTGCACGAAATTCTCATGGATTGGTGCTTAGAGGTATGTGTACGAGGATCCAATATCCTTACAATGCGAAGATTGCTGAAGTGGAAGTTGTCATCCATGGGCTCAAATTTGCAATTGATAATGGAAATCGTCAACAGGATCGTAAATTGGAAAGATGATGTGTCTACAATCAGATTGTTACTCAACGAAGCTCGAGGGTTGATTTCTTCTTACTTAGGGTTTAAACTTTTCTATGTTAACCGGATCGTAAATTGAATGAACTTCGTCGAATCTCAATCCGATGTGGTTTTTTTATGGATGTACCTGAATGTATTAGACATATTGTAATTGATGATGTCATTGGCTTTTAATGAATCCTTTTTCTCAAAAAGAAGAAGAAGAAGAAAGAAACCAGTGATAAAAAAATATAAAACACAAACATAAATGATTATCTGTGTAGTTAACCCTAAAGTTTAATAAAAAAATAATAATAACAATCCCAACTACTGAAATATATTTTTTTTAATTCGAGCTTGTTAGATACATAACTTAAATCTCGAAGTTCATTCAAGTGCTAGAATTAACAGTGTAAAAAGAAAAGCATTAAATCAGGTGTGTTCAGTAGGTGCATGACGGTTGCTTATATTAATCGTTAGGCAATTCCTAAGAAATATTATTATTTTGTTGCTGGTTGGAAGAACAAGAAGAAGTTAAAGTTAAATAGGTTAGACTAAAGTTGTATTGGATGCCCAAAACAACTATAATTATGGCTTTCTTATTCATTCACTATAATTGTCTGTTACCCTTTGACGGACCAATTAGCTTAATTAAGAAGGAAAAAGATGCCCACAAAAGCTAATCAGGCAGAAACATACTCGTTTCACTCAACTTAATCTTCCCCTTCAAGAATGAATCAAATGGTTTATGTGATACAGAAACTGCATTGTACTCCCTTCAAAATAATAATAATCTTCCCCTTCAAAACATATTATTGGTCCAATATAAATCATTTGAAAATATTACTAGAAAAGAATTGACCAGATTGATTGTCGTTAAAAAGTAGGGTTTCTCGGAACATGTTAAAATTCACTCATACAAAGAGGATGATGGAGTTGAGATGGAAGGTGGGCTTATAATAAAAAAAAGCTCCAAGTAGGCAAGTAGTGGTATATATGTAAGTTGCATTATAAGGTACATGAATTTAAATTACGATTTTGGTTGTATAATATTTATTGTAGTTGCGGATATAATAGACACTATTACAATGATTGTGTGTTACTGTCATGTAATAATGATGTCGGATGACAC